AACCACCCTGAGTCACTTGTGTGAGATGGTGGTTATATACATGAATAATAAATAAACTATAGCTTGACAAACCATCGCAAACAGTATGTGATTTAGCAAAGTGTGACTTCGTAAATTCTGGCAAATATGCACTTACTTGCCTTGTAAATCCCTTTTGAGAAATAAGGTCAATAGTTACTGCATCTATGGGATCAAGGGATAGATGGTGTATTTTCCTGGAATGTCAAATTATTTCAGTTAAGCAATTTGTTTACTGACTTATGATAGAGCAATACTTGAAAGGGTCTCAGGATGCTATTTCCCCCCCCCCTCTTCAATTGGACTTCCCTAATTTTATGTGATAGATAACCTATAGCAGGGATCCATGCAAGCACTTTCTGAGGTCCTGACGATGGACACCTGACAACAAGCATAAGGGCTTGACAACTAAAAGAGCTTCCCTTCCCCTGTGGGGTCTGTTCAAGGCATGTCATGGGGCACATGGACACTGTCAAGGATGGAAAGTTATGAGGATGTGAACTGGTGTATCTTTTTTTCTGTGACTCTCTTAATATTTACTCCAGACATCTTGGTGGGCATTTTACCCTTATTTGAGCCTATTGTCTCTGAATCCTAAAAAAAGCCCACTGGCTACACACTAGTTATCCATGGAAATAATAAAATGAATGGTTCCCTTCAATAATGCTCAAACAAAGAAAATACAATCTAGTTACCAATAAGGCTTAGATCATTATTCAGAAGAAACGTTTGTCTAGCTAAAGAAATGGAGGGTTCCATTTTTGTAAAGCCCAGAACACACAGAAAATGTACACATATAATTAAGGGAAATTCAGTCAATATTCAGAATTTCAGTCAATACACAAAAACCAAGATACCTATGAGAAAATTAGAAGAATAAAAGAACACTACCTGCATAAGTTAAATGAACATGTCATTGCTTTAAAAACAATTACATTTCACCTGAAAATACAATCATTTTTAAAATAAAGCAAATTGACCACACATTTTCCTAGGACAAAGAACCACAAAAAGACCTTCCCATAAGCAGACATCTGTTCTGATTTTGCAGAGTCTGACACATGCTCTGTCAGCAATTATTTACTTCTGTTCCACTACAGTGATACTAACATACAAAAGCATCATCCCTCTTGAGAGGACAATGCTGTTACCAACTAATCTCACTCATGTATAAAAGCATTACCTCATCCTGCTTAGCTAATGCACTGATGTCATCGTCTGTCAAGCAGAATATACATTTCTCCGGGGAAGATGATCTCATTTCTCAAGGGGAAAAAAATATATGTCTAGGACCGCTTAAGTTAACGCTTGTCTGCTTTTTGGTACTAACATTTTCTCCCCTGAGTTTCTTCGACAGAAACACAATTAAGAAAGTTAAGATGGTTCTAGGAAAAGTTAGCAATAATACAGATAACACATATAATAATGTATGTCAATATAATTTTAATGTGATTTAAACTTAAAGATACTTTTTATGAAGTAATAGGTAGTGCTGGCTATCTTGGAGAGGCATTGAAGAAAAAAATAAAACACAGCTTCTAGGTAATATTTAAAACCATGATTTTCCATGTTATTCTTCAAATAACTGACCTACTGCTTACCTACTGTGCCAGCTTTGGAAGCCATATTTTACTCAGAAGCTTCCACGCCGCCACATTTTAGAGCCTGGGAATTTGGGAGGGGGGGATTTCATAGAGCGGGGAACGTTTAGACATAACATTCTTCTACCGAGTGAAGGACAAATCAGCGTGCACCTGGAAAGGAAGAATTGGAGGACTGTCTCCAGTTTGGACAGGTGGTGATTGGTCCAATGGGTACAGAGGATGGATTGCTGCTTTTCAATTATGAGGGGAAAACCTGGAACTCTCAGATTCGGGTTTTCCCGGATGTGCCAATATGACAACTCTAATAAAGTGTAACTTTGAAAAAATGCTTGTCTTGGAGTTTGTTGATTTGGAGTTTGTTGGAATGCTGACATACAGTAGGTTAGCACTCCTCTAGAAACAGTAATGTTTTAAAGATACTTTTTCAATAAGACGCTTCTCATTCAGCATTATCAGTTTATAATTTTAAATATATTAAATGTGATACGCCAAGAAGAATAGAATCCAGATTCCCTGCTATATGAGTAGATCACAAATACTATTCATTGTAAAAGAAACAAGGAACTATCTAGACTCTTTCTTCCAACTGTGGTCTGTATGAGACTTGGAGGCACTGAGAGGCATTTTACTTGAGATATTTACTTGCTTTATCCTAGCATCCCATTCATTAAGTTGAAAGAGTCTAGAAAGCAAAATTAAAAAAGTGTAGGAACTCCAAAGTATGCAATCATAGAACATTCTCAACTTTGTTTGGTGCAATATATTGGGGAATCATTTTTATTTTGGATTACAAAATTATTGAAAGCAGAGTTGAAACAACTCTTGTTTAGCAGGCATTGCATTCTTTCCCAATCCTTATGATTTGAGGCTTTTAATTATGGACAGAACCTGGATGCAGCCTTAATTTTCCTAATATCTTAGGTGAAGGCTGGGCATGGCCCTTTTCCAATCTGTATGGTTTGAGGCTTTAATTATTGACAGAACCTGCATGCAACCTTGAGCACAGATGTGTTGCAGATACATCTGCTTCCAGTGTAGTGTAGTAGTAAAAGCACTACAAAAGGAGAGGCCCAGGTTCAAGCCTTGAAAATTCACTAGATAATAGACCAATTACAGTGCATCAATTCAACCTACTGCCCAGAGTTGTTATTGTGGGGATAAAATGAAACCATATAATCTGGCATGAATTTTAGAAGGGAAGGCAGGATATAAATCAAATAAGCAAAGAAATGGTTTGTGATGACCTTCTTACAAAAATCAGATAATTTAAAGTTAGCCTCAGAACACAAATAAGTGAAATAATAAAACCAGCTAGCCCTATAGTCTTCACTTAGCAACCATTTGCAGTTACAACATTCATGAAAAAATAACTTTATTATTAATTCTTACAGGTCTGTTAAACAATGGAAAGCTAAAGTAAGATCATACGCCCAGTTGCAATTTAATTTAGCAACCACTTTGCTTAATGATTGAGTTGCTGGGTATATTAAGTCACTTTTACTATATAAAATCAATCTGTGTAACTTTCATTAGTAGCAAGTAAGGTTACAGGGCTCAAGTACTACTAGCATATAAAAGGCACATTTAGTAAACTGCTCTTAAGATTGTTGCAAAGGTCAGGAAAAAAATCTGGCATTCTAACAGTTTAAAATGTTTACCCCCAATTTTACCCCCATGTGTTGTATTAGTTCTGTTTGCACTAGGTGTGTAAAGGGTCTATATGAAATTTTCTCTTGGTTATGTCATCATCAAAGATAATAGCAATTACAGTATATCAATTCAGTTTCATATCTCTGCAAAATTAGAAAAGACAATACAATCCATAACTTAACTCCTGAAGGAAAAGGAGACGATAAATCTAGCAAATAGAAAAGTTAATTTTATGCTGTGCTCAGTTGAAAACTCAAAAGAATTTTGAGGGAAGCCAAATATTTAGAGGGCAGCATTCTCAAGGAGGCTTTTCTATAGATTTTGCATATAGTATTCACATTTTCTTGGTAGCAAGTGCCTGTTTTCATTGGGCTGTATTTCTGAATAAAGATTGTGCTGCAATTTATCAGACTTGATTCCAAATTAACTTGGTTCTAAAGATCTGACAATTCTTTTGGAAAAATTATTTGTAGAACAATGTAAAATATTTGGTACAACATTTCTCAGGCAGCACTTTAGTCAGTGCATGTTCTTCACACTGCGGGATGTAGTTTTGCTAGGCAATCTCAGTGTGAACCACCTTTTGAAGACTGTTCATGAACTCTCAGGTAAACTGCCGTAAATTCATTGTAATCTTGATTATATACAAGGCCGTCAAACCCAAAGTCAGGAACTAAAACTAATATTGAATCCAAAATAGTTAAGTTTTGCTTTCCACGCCACACTCTTGGGATGCCAAAACGGAGATAGGAAATCAGTGTTAAAGGGTAGTTTAATTTAGGGTAGCCAATCTACCAAATGGCTTAATACTTTTGAGAATTAAACTCCTCCTGTTTTAGGGATACAGTATTGAGTATTAAGAGGCTTCCTTTTCTTCACTTAGTTAACTGTAGTAGTTTGGTGTTTATTCAATACTCAATGCTGGTCTGTGACCATCATAAAAATCTATTTTTAACGTTTTCTTTCTCTTTGTCATTAAAACATCGTGAATGTTAAGCGGAGCAAAGGGCAAAGAGAGAAAGGAAGGCAGCCCAATCCACTGCCAAACCAAAAAAAATTTAAAATCTTTTTTTAACTGTTGCACAAGCGGTCTGGGGATGGATATCAGAGAGAGCGAGTATCACTTTTGTTTCCAGGCAGGACGCCGCTACCTACTAAGCTGCTTACTAGCAGCTATTCCGCCCCTTCTTAATTTCTGAGGGTTGTGTAGGTGAGAAAAAGCTTGTGGGATAGAAGTAAGCAAGAACAATCGACCGCGATGGCGCCTATTAGCAGCTTCCAGAGAAAGGAAATAACAAGCGATCCACGAGAGCAGCAGCAGGGACCTTCGCGGGTTCGCTCGGCTGGAGGCAACCTTTTAATAAAGGTTGGAAATAAAGGTATTTAACCTTTATTTCCAACGGAGACGCAAGGACCACCGCACCGGTCTTGGAAACAACTGCTCGGGGGACTCTCTCCCCGCCCAGTGGGCGCAGCACCAGCACCAGCACCAGCACCAGCCTGGGAGTGGAAAAAAAAAACATGACTTAGGTGGGACCCCCCCCCCCCCCCCCCCGGGGACAGGGTCACTGACCTCTGCTGACTCCTCCTTCGCTCCTACGGTTTTACCCTCTTTCCGAGCGCTTCCAGGGCTGCCTCCGACCGTTTTCTCCACGCTCGGCTTCCCCAGCCCAGCCTGCTTTTAACCCCACCCTGGAGGAGGAGGCGGCAGAAGAAGGGAGGGAGAAAAGGAGGAAGAGGTTGTCGCTGCCTTGGTGGTGTTGACGACGACCCCAGCAACAGGGGCCTTTGTCCAATCGCAAGCGCGGGCGCGGTTTTTTTTTTCTTCCTGCCGCCTTTCGAAGCTCGGCTTGGTAACCGCGGCCCTCCCTGGAGAAGGGGGGCTCCGTGCAGCCCCTCCCCACGCCGCCGGGGTAGGTGGGCTGAGCGTCCTCCGTTTCACTCCAGTTGCTGGGACGAGTTTAAGATGATGTCGTGCAACCGTGCAACCTCCGAGTCTTTCCGCAAGTTGCACGGGCCTTTTGAGTTTTTCTTTGGAGCTGGCAAGGAAGGTGCTGTTTTGAAGTGAAGGTTGAAAAGGTATCCCACCCCCTTTATATAATCCATATAAATAGGCAGATACAGAGAGACGCGGGAGGATCCAGGACACCCTTTTATGAAGAGGCACTGCTTTAATTCACCACGCTTATGGGAGAGGCGCATCCAGTTTTATTTATTTATTTATTTATTTATTTGATTTGCCAATTGTTTACAAGATAATAAGTATAAGTGTATACATAGTTGTGAATACATGAAATGGGTACATATAAGAAAAATAAAAGAAGAATAAGAGAAACAATAGGACAGGGACGGTAGGCACGTTGGTGCGCTTATGCACGCCCCCTACAGACCTCTTAGGAAAGGGGTGACATCCAAAGCAAACTGCCATATGTGACCTGACGAGAAATTGGGAGCTATGGGTTCATTTATTTGCACAACCAAAACGCCTTGCATGAATATGGCCCAAAAATAGTTTGCAGCAGGCAGGAATGCAAGTTTCTGTTCAACTCTGAGGCGAACTGAGCTGGCAGTTTCTATTCCTTTCCTCAATATGTGTCAAAGGTGCTTTCCAGTTTGGGCAGACGGGACTGTTGTGGTTTAGGTCATCTTCTACAATTGATTTCATTTTGGGCAAATGCCTTCACTGCCCTTGGCTACTGTGCAGTGGCTCCCTTCCACTCGCTGGTTGCTGTTCTCCATAATTATTTCTCCTGGTTAACTGTCTCCTTCTGAAGGGCCTTCAGTTGCTGAATCTGTGGACCAAATAAAACAATGGGCTTTTTTTTGCATAATTTTTTTATTTTATTTTTGTTACAAACATATCTTCTTCCATTTAATGATGTGTCATCTGGTTACAAATATTTTGTGCAATACAGTTAATGTTTACATCATATTCATTATATAGCATTATTCTCTAGCCTTATTATACTTATTGTACTTAATATCATTCTTTATCTCTCAGCTTATTTATTTCTATCAATGAAAAAATCTATTATCCTTAATTAATCCATTAATTATATCTAGCTTTCATATTTTTCTCTAATCATTGACAGAATAGTTCCCTTACCTAGCTCACCGGTGAAAAGCTGGATTTTCTTTTTATTTTACATATCCATTGATGAAGTAGTGCGCCTGTCCTTGTTTCTTAAATTAGGTGACATTGATACTACTTCTCTCCAACTCAGTTTCTACCCCAGGATCATGTTTCTGTGGTCATGTCAGCATGCATTCAGCTTTAATGTATTTTTCATTTTTGATTCAGCATGCACACACATACTCATTACAGAATAAGTCAGTGGTTCTCAACCTTTTCTTCACCACAGACCCCCTTTAACTACCCTTTGAGGCCACAAACTATGGCACCACAACTTAACTCAAGATTTATATCATTACATTTCTTCAAGCCTTCTCAGATCCCCTGTGATGACATCGCAGTCCACCCAGTGGTCTGCGGACCACAGATTGACAAGTACTGGAACACATACTGGCAATCCAAGACTAAAACTTTAATAACATTCTTTTTCCATCATTGATGTATAAATATATACTATCATAGCCAATAGTTCTTTGTGACATGTAGACAAGCAAATGCAAAAATTAGCTACATAATGAAAATTGATTGAATTTGGAAGATTTGTTATCAGTATTATTGGTGCTAGAATAACTTTTAATGGGTTGTAGAATGTTTCACTGGTTGATTACATGTGCATTTTACTAAACTTCAATCTAATGACATTTTGAGAAACATAAAAGTAAGTTACAAAAATCCCAGTTTGGTGCATTAGGCTAAACACTGGGAGACTATGAGTTCTAGATCTTGGACCAGTGACTTTCTCAGGCCCTAGAAAGGAAGCAATGGCAAACCACTTCAGAAAACCTTGCCAAGAAAACTGTAGGAACTTGTCCAGTCAGTCTCCAAGAATCAGATATAATTGAATAGAAAGAAAAAAAGATAAGTTAACTTACAGTGTGGTAAACAAAAGCTAGCAAAAATTTGGACATATATAGTATTTTCCTTTCTCTATTAGACTAATACACTATTGTATGAATTACTGTACACGTATCCTTTTCTGTTAACATAATCTAACCTTACTTCATCATTGAAAAAATGCATTAAGAACAACAAGTTTCTATTGGTAAAAGTTCAATAACAGGCTGGCTGTAACAGCATATTAATTGACTATTTTATGTATTTTCATACAGATATTTTTACTTTTGAAAACTAAAGATTGAATGCTGTTGATTACTATGCAAGGTCACTGTCATGAGTATCGGTAAGTTCATTATTTGAAAGCCTCATAATGTTTATAATGAATTTGCTCACAATAAATATTTGCTAAGTAGTAAAAAGGCTTAAAATTAAGTTGTATATTTCACTCTCCTGTTTCATATACTATGAAAATCTGCTTGACAGAGTAGCAAGTTAACTATCTCTTTCCCCCTCCAATTTCATTTCCACATTTTACTGCATCCTAATTCCTTCCATAAGTGAAATAACATTTTTAATATGTTTTCTCATATACATTAAGAATGTACTTTGAGAATCTTGATGCTAAGCTAATGGAATGATTATACACCAGCATAGGGAGGTTTTTCTTCCCAGCTGTAGGCTATTGGCTTTTCCTTATTTGTAATCAGATTTCAAGTCTTGGGTACAAAATTATTGCAAAAAGTAGTCAAAGGTATGTGCTATTAGTTACATATGGTGAATTTTTATTTATTGGATTTGTACCTGCCACTATCAAAAGAGTCTGCACTTCGCACTTCAGTTTTGAGAATAATATCCTGAAACATACATACTGTAATAAAAAAGTAAAGACAATGGCAACAAAGCATTCATAACACATCAATCATAGCATCTCAACTTTCAGAGGCACTCAGAATAATTTAGCTTTTATTAGTTTACATGGGGATCAGTGTAATTTCCCTGAGTAAACCATTTGTAATGCAGATGTACTCACTGTATAATAATGCTTGTATGCCTCATCGCCCTTAGTGCAACAAATAAGTACCAATGCATTTCCTGGCACATTTCCTTTGACCTATATGACAGGAGAAATCATGCTTGGCCCTGATAATGTTGTACAAAGCTATACATCTCTTTATAATTGCACCAAGAACTGAACAGAGAGCCATTGTCGGATCAGAAGTGTTATGCTGTTGCCAACATATGCCAGCCAACATTTGGACCATTGCATTCTGGACTAGTTGTAACTTTTAAGTGGTCTTCAAATATAGCTACTTTTTGAATACATTGTAGTGATCAGCAGGAAACACCATTACATGGTCTTCCCAATCTAAGCAGGCCTGCAGCGGGCACAACAATCAGAACTGCTGCCACCTTCTGTACCTGTTTATCCTGCAATACCTGTTCTCTTAGGAATATTGCACCTCATTGAGAGACCACACTGGGGCTGACAGAACTCCTTGATGTACAAAGAGTAACTCTGTTCTGAATAGGGTTAGGGTTGTTTTTGTCCCCTTTGGCCTCTAATATTTACTCTCAGATGTCAGAAGAAGCCATTCACAGATCTCTTGGATGTCCCAGGATTACATTGTATACTTACTGATAATATCATTCTTGATACAGATGGATGATCTATCAGTTTCATATAAGTATCAAAAACCAGGTTAAAGAAGATGAAACACTACAAAATTCCATATGGAAGTAACTACCAGGCCAATCTCTCCTTCCACTGCCCAAATGGAATTATACACCAAAGAAACAGTAGAACCGCTACAGGATAGTACTTTTAATCACCAATCTTTTCAAATGGTCCAGAAAGATGCCATATTAAATGTTGTAGAAGACCATCAAAAGATCTAAAAGAGCCAGAAGGGATATGCCACCCTCATCCAGCTTCTAAAAAAGTTCATCTACAAGAATGGTTAATTATTCACTGACAGAAAATGGTACTAATAATCTACTTTCTATATAATACTCTTGAAATGTGCTGTAATTATATCCTCAGTAACTTTCCCAAGGGAAAGTTGGAGACAGGATGCTTAGCTGCCAGGACCAGAAGGCTTTCAGAATCACTTTCTCCTGAAGGCAGGTTGGATCCAGATCATCACACACTTCTGATTCTCGAATTCAGGAGAGGATCCAAACTATAAGTGGTCAGAAATAGCCAGAGAGCACTTTAACAGAGCACCTTAATAGCTTCAGTGACTAATCAGTCACTCAAAATCTACTGGAATCTATTTTGATCCATAAGATGCCTGTGACAGACATTGTTTATTAGTTTATTCAGGTCCACTGGAAACTATTAGGATCCATAAGATGCCTGCGACAGACATTGTTTTTTGGTTTATTCATCCAATATAGAGTAATTAATCTTCTTTGGACTAGGAAGAGATCTGACAAAGGGTGATAGAAATAACTTCCATATCCAGATTACTAAAAATCTAAAGCAAGTCCAACATGTGGGTTCCTAAATCTGGAGAAGTGGATGCCAGCCTAACATGTCTGCTCTAGGATTATATGGGAGAAGCCCATGATTACCCTGGAGACCATGAGCAATATCTGACTCAGCTTCACATTCACTACATTGAATTCTACTGTATAGTGCAATATTAATGCAATATCAGGAGTTTTCAATTCAATTGTATAGAATATGAAGGATGTGTGTTTGTGTTTTATTTTTATAGTTATAATGTACATTTTGATGGCATTTAATTTTGTTGTACGAGGTGCAATGACAGTAAAGTAAACTAAATAGTAAATGTTGACGTTAGCCAATACCAACATCAAAAGATCTTTGTCTTACATAGGGATCCTGCCATACTGCAGGAAGATCCCCAACTTGCTGCAACAACCAACATAAATACAGACATTTGGGAAAATAAACATCTAACTTTCTTCCACGTCCTGGACTATATTCTATAATATGTTTATAAATTGTCATGAAACTTCCTCACAATTTATACATTTACATTTTAATAAACATGTTACTATTGGATTGAATTGGGATTTTTTTTCTGGAAAGGTCTTTAAGTGTTTAATGTTAATTGCTTAAGGATCAACCAAGAGAAAGTGGGAAGAAAAACTGAAGAATGTTGAGGAACTAGCATCTTGCTATAAGCGGAGGCCTCTCTGCTCCAGTTACAAGCCAAAACTGTCCAATCCATTGCAACCATCTTCGGTTTGGAAGCTATTCTATCGGCAAATTCATGCATTTAACTTTGCCAAGACTTGTAAAGAGGTACAGTAATAATGAATAGGGCAGCATTTTTTGACAATTGAATATTAACAACTGTTATAGGATTTTGATAATTTAGAAATTAGTTTCTTATTACTGAATTTTATTTATGAAATGCTCCATATTCAAAAAACAGGTTTAGACTGACTTTACTGTCGGTAAAGTCAGGTTTAGTCAGACTTTACTGTACAAATCCTTGGATATTTAAAATATGAGCTAATAAGCTTAGGAAACAGACACATTTTAATTACATAGTGAAGAAATTGTGAAAATTAAAATGCACAAAGCCAACTTTGCTTCTGTTTCTTTTGCAAGAAGTCAGAAATGATCAATAACAACTAAATAAGTGCCTCCTTTAACAGAAATGGCTGAATGCTGCTTACAGAATTGCAGTCGAATCAGCATCACTAAAAAATGAAAGAGGTATAATTATACTTGGAGAAATGTTTAGATTATTATGATTATTTGGAAAAAGGACCATCTGTATATTGAGCAGAAACTTTAGTAATATTGCAGTATTTAGATATAATACCGTAATACAAAGCAAATAAAAAAATACATATTTGAAGAAAAATAGTTTTCACATGATTTTCTTGTATTGTCAAATATAGAACATGCTGCAAGACAAAATATGACAACAGAACTAAATAACTAGCTTTGGTTAATATGACTCAGAAAAGCATATGTAGTTATGTATGTCACATTATTTCAAAAGGATGTTCATGTATTTGCTTTGGAAAAGTGCGATGGAAATAATCAACGGCTCTATCTTGTGACAACTTATACAGAACTTTGGTTCTACTACCGGTATGTATCTGAAGATCGAGAACAAAATTATTTATATAGCCTACATTGCTGCACATTCTGTTATTCCAAAATTTGCATAGAATTACAGCCTTTAGTATTTGTGTGTTTATTTTTCCTGTTATTATGAGACATAATGAATTCTATCAGACTTTTTTTTTAAATAAAGCTTAAATTCAGACTAGCTAGCTCTTTGCTGTGATGCTGATCATACCTTGCATGTCCAGTTTCTTGCATTAAGTCTCTAAGCAGCTTCTTGAAGTATTTAAAAAGCATTGGGATCATTCTGTTGTAGGAATAATAGATAATACACTGTAGATATCTTTTAAATCTTCATTCCCAAACATTTTGGCTTATATACTACCTTATGTTTGAAACGCTTGTGATTTTATGACTTTAAGGTGGTCTTTTAAAAATGAGAAATGCATGAAATAGACAGTATCAAGCAAGAAATATAAGAAATTTGATGTAATATATTAAATTTAAATTAAGTAAATACAGTTAATATTTTCCCCATGCATTTAATGATTTTCCTTTTCAGTCTCATGTGACAGTTTTTAAGATGCCCTGGGGATATCTAAGGCTTAATATGAATAGCTAGAGATTATGTGTTCTTGATCTAGTGACTCATGAAGATCTGCCTAAATATGCAGCTGACATTTGGCATTCTTTCCTGAAATATTGGGGTTTTTCACAGTTGTCAGGTCAGAAACAAAACAAATATGGAAGATTATACAGTTGTAAAATATTGTATAAAATATCTTGTATAACATTTCTGCAACATTAATACAATGCCCTGATTGTGATTATAGAACCATCTTGTGATGGTTCAATAATCACAGAGTTTTATTATGTTTTAGTCAAAGCTGGCTGAGGAACCCCAAACCTTCCAGATCTGATTGACTTACTGAATGGCAACTCTCACATCCTAGCTAAAACTGGGGGGGGGGGGCGGCGGCAGGGGGAATCCGTTAGTCAACAGTACTGTACAGGGGAAAAGTTGGAATACTTTAGCTAAGTATGATGAATAATATTTCTGATTTTCAATGTAGCAAACATGAAACAAAACTGAAGCATTGCTATGAAATAATCCCAGAAACAGCTGTTTGCAAGCTTTATTTTGATTTGGAATTCTACAAGCCAACAAATCAGGGAGCCAATGCAAATCAGATGGTAGCAGACTTAATTAAGGTACTTTTTTTAAAAAAAAAAGAGAATTACAATTACAGACATAACAGATTACAATTGTAATAATAGATTAATGTCAGAATTACTAACCAATAAAAACTGAAAAGCTTTCTACAAATTCATGTTTAAACCTGAAAATAAGTTTCAGTACAGTTTTAGAAAACAGTATTATTTGTTTTGGGAAGGTGATAAATGATAAGAATTATTTAACTTATACAGGGTATCATAAAATTTTACATATGAAAATTAATATTGTAAATGTACATGGGGAAGTGCATAGAATAGGTTGAGAAGAAGTAATGAAAGTTAAAGTTGAATAGTAGAACTGCATCATCTTATGCACCTGAAACACACTACAGTCTGGTTCAAGATATATTATGACATCTGAAAAGGTGGCTAACTTTCTAAGCTTAGAAGTAAGCAAGCTCAGGCAAGAATAATACATGGACATATTACCAACTTTTTCAGTGGTACTGTAAGTTGAAAAAGCATCTAAAGTGTACACACACCTATCCACAAAGTCATCAGGAATTAAGTTTGGCTTGAAGGAGATTTTATTCTTTATAATGTCAGAAAATGAACCTAAATATATTTTTTATGAATCTAAGTGGAGATTCTGGGAAAAGAGATTACATGTTTTAACCTACCACATGCTATGTGCAGTATCAGATACTAGGAATGACCACTGAACTATCAATTATAAGTTAAGAAAACAGTTCAAAAGCACTTGAATTATATAACAATGATTATTTTTAGTCGGTTAAAAAACAACCACTTTTTAAAATTGCTAAAATCCAATGCTGTGTGCATGCATCCCATTCCCATGCTCTATTGCAGGGCTGTCAAACTTGACGGCCCATGGGCCCGATGCATCATGCCTGGTTTAGTGAGGGAGAAAAAAGTTCTGATACGTCACGGGACGACGTGAGTTTGACACCCCTGCTCTATTGTGTCTGTAATATATCTGTTGGTAGAGTCAAAGTGAACTGCTGTGCAGGTGGCTGAATAGATTGCTGTTTGAGGGAAAAGGAATGGCAGGTGCTTCCCTGTAAAAGGGTATGTATCGGGTTTGAGGGAGTCTTCTTTTGTAATCTCTAGGTCACATGTTTACCCTGGGACCATTTTATCACCACTAGCCACACACTCCTGGAAGATAGAGACAAGCTTTTCAGACACCTTTTCCCAGTCTGCAGAGGATGCAAAATGGATGCCTTAAGCCTTGCAGAAGACAACCACTAATGATTCTTGAACTCTGAAATGTGGGTCAGTTTTTCCTATTTGGCATAGAATGCTGAAAGGACAAAATGAATACTTTGAGGATTAAATACTTATTTCACTCCTCAAATTTTCTTTCCAGTTTCAAAACTTGTCCTACCTCTTACTAGGAGATAATGAAGCCATAGCTACATTCTCAGTGGTTCTCAGTGGCCAATATTTTTTTGAAAAAGTTCTCCCAACCATAAGAATGTTGTGGATTGCTGCTAGTATATGGAACTATTTGTTTTGATTGCCTGCCTTTACATATGAACATACATAAATATGAAATGAAGTGTCATTGTGATTGTGATTTTTCTTAGTTTATAGGTAGGAAACTAGATGAATACTATGAAATAAAATGCTCAGCTGAGAATATTTTGAAATTGGATTCCAGTACTGAAGAAAAATATAGCTGCCATTTAATATTTCTACTTGAAAATGCTGCATTTAAGAATAATATCCATATAGGTAAATATTTCATATTTAAAATGCATGTTCTAAGCCAATTTTATAAACTTTATATCATTCAGTTTGTACTATAATAAACATTGCGATTTTAAACATTTTACAAAGAAAATTACAGGATTTTATGGTGATTTTTCAAATATGCTGTTTTTCTCTATTCTGATTATTCTAAAGGTAATTTTTTAAGAACAATTATGCAACCTGCTATTCTTTTAACTAAGAATAAAGATGCAATGGACCCCCAAAACATCAACTCTGTTGGTCGGTGTTATAAAACTACCATTGATTTGCCTACATGCCTTGAAAATGATAGTTTAGTCAAAGATGTGTGTCAAAACTTGAAACTGGACTCTTACAAAATATCAGAAAAAGGAACATCAGAAGAAAATCCAGATCTTTCATTTTTAATAGTGAATGGTAAACAAGGAGAAAAGCAACTGTTTGTGGATCTTGGTAAATATAAACCTAAATATTATACTGTTTAGGCTTTGCATAGCATCACAGGATTGTTTAAAATTGCAAATATTTCTTTCCCTGAGACATGCAGCTTTGAAAACAGTAATGCATGGCTTATGTAGAGTTTTTTTAGAATTAGTATATTGGGACAAAGCATTTTCATGGTGTAAGATGATTAATGGCTATGTTCTTAACTATGAAACTCCAATGTGCCTCACGACATTTTAAGATCTAAAAAAGCTATGAATAGCTATTGCAAATATATATGAATTGAACAGCAGTCAGGTATTGATTAGTTAAGAACATGATTGGCTTGTGTTGTGTGAATAGCTCCACTATTTTCAAATGTGACATTCACAGGAAAATAGCTGGCAAATTACATCTGAAAGTCCAAATCTAGTATTTTGTGTTTTTTTTCTTTATAGAATTGGTTATGCACTCCAGGGAATATTTGTATATTGCTTAACTAATTTTTTCAATATACTTCTGTTTCAGAATTCTAGCACAAATTTGAGTGTTACATGACATCTGGTGCTGCAATATGGGCCTGATTCAATTTCTTCCCAATATATGATACTGAATCTTATTATAGTGCAATAGGAATACCTGTAGGGTTTCATTCGTACAATTATATGCACCTACAAATACAGAAAAATGACAGGCAATTACATCATTTTTTTATATAATTTGATTTTTTGAAGAATTAATTTTTGCATATGTGTAATATAATATTCAGGTTACAGAGCAGAAATTAATTTTGGAATTGAATTTTAGAATTATACAATCACCAAATTGGGCTTGCATAAATCTTTACATTTGTATTTGCTGCATTTCCATTTATGAACATTAGAGATTTCAGAAGAAAAGTAATGTGTCTACTGTGTCATTTAAAATATTCTGCTCAAGCATTCAGAATGAAGAACACTTGTCAAAATTTGAAAAGTTCAAAATTCAGAATAAATGAATTCTGAGTCAACTTGATTTGTGTTTAAATCAGCGTTTCCCAAATCTTTTCCTTCATTAGCCACAAGTTTTTTTGGAGTTCAGCAAAAAAAAGTTCAGACTGCCCCAGGATCTGTTGATATAGTTTTACAGAAGAATTATTGACTCTGTAATTTGTACTACAGATAGTCCTTGACTTACAACAATCACTTAGTGATAGTTCAAAGTTACAATGGCCCTGAAAAATGGATGATTGACCATTTTTCAGTTATGACTGGTGCCACATCCCCATGGTCACACGATTTACATGCCAGACAACTGATTCATATTGCAGTGTTCCCGGGTCATGTGATCACCTTTTTTCAATCTTCTGACCAGCAAAATCAATGAGGAAACCAGATTCACTTAACAACCTTACTAGTAATTTAACAACTGCTTTGATTCACTTAACTGTAGCAAGAAAAGACATAAAAATCACTTAAAATCTCATAAATTTTGCAACATAAGTTTTGAGCTCAATTGTGGTCTTAAGTTGAGGATTACCTGTATAAATATCTGGTTTAGTACAGCAGACAAGATAGCAGAGGTACAGACTTCAACAAATAGTTAAGTCTGCAGAAAAAAGTTCAACCAGCCTGCTTTCAACTAAGGATTTGTATACTGCTATACTGCACAGGTCAGGAGGGATGAAAAAATATGTAGACCCCTCACATCCTGGACATAAAATGTTTCAATTCCTCCCCTTAGGATGCTGCTATAGGGCGTTGCTCACCAACACAACTAGATTACTAACAATTACTGTTAACTTTCCCATCTTTTCTGCTATCTTCTCCTATTGGTATTTTATGATTATATTACTTGTTTATATCATATTGTTTATATGAGTTTATGCAAGTAGAGACAAATTTCTTGTGTGTCCAATCACACTAATAGTCTAACAGTGTAGAAAGAATGGCAAAAACTGGGGGGCGTAGAGAAAAGAGGAATCAATCTGGAAACTCTACAAAGTCATAAGTAAATTATGTCCAATCCCACCTTGAGCACTGCTTACCCTTTTCTGACTCTAACCAGGTGCTAAGCGTTAATAAGATTCCTGGGCAATAAATCAGCTTAATTGAACGTTCACGTGTGGACTTAGTCTTTTGCGCCTGGCAAAGTTTTGTTCTTTATGAAGACAGATGTGGAAAATCCTACTTCACAAATGTAGGTTCTTAAAAATGGCACCACAGCCTCCCCAGCTACCACATCAAGAATTCATTGTGAATTGTTAATGAGAAAAACTCCAAATAATTCTTTTCTTCAATTAACATGTTGCATTGACTGTTTGACCTAAGCTCATTTATTTATTTATTTTGTATTCTGTCTTTATTATTTTTACAAATAACTGAAGGCAGCATTTGTTCTGGAAAACCATTTTAATGGGTTTGTGTGTTGTCACCTAAAAACGCTTTTACCCAATTTTGGGTAATTTACTTGGAAAGCACTCATTTAAATAAAAAGCAATCCTTCAAAGTAATGTTTTTTTAGCCAACTTGTTTCAGAAAAATGGTTTCTTTAAGGAACTATGCCACATGAAGGAGAATCTTTGGATTCTGTATTTTTTTTAAATGACAATTCTAGTTTAACTTTTGAACACATACACATGTATAATTTGTCTTATTTTTCTATGTTCTTTTTGTATTGCAATGAAAAACTGAGGACTATAATTCAGTAGGGTTAAATATTCTTATGCAGACTAAAATCCAGTCTTAAAAAATGGTTGTTGAAGTGATTCGTATTCATGAATTAAAAAACCCCACATTTTTCTATATTTTTCTTTCCTTAGGAGTTTATACAAAAAATAGAAATTTTCGATTATACATGTCATCAAAAGCAGGACGCACTGTCATTTTGAATATTGCAGAAGATAACAAGTTTGTTCCTAAACCTGTAAATAATTCTTGCATAGACGAACAGTATTTTTTGTCCTCCTTGATCTGCAATGTAAGGTAGTAATTGCAAATTATTACCTTTCTTTTTAATTATTATTGAAGATGTTTATTTGTAGCAGCAATATATTTCCTTTATTGTCCTTTGGGAATGCTTGAGACAGTAGTATTTGAGGCAACTGTGTTACACAGAATCATACTAGAGTTTAAGCATGCTAAGGCTTACTAGTTTGAGGAGTTGGGTTTTCTCAGATTTGGATCCTTGAAGATAAACAGCTCAGTCATAGAAGGAAATCCTTTTCCTGGTCTGCCTCTCTTCTTTTTCAAATCTGCATCTTGAAATTTCTTTAAGTCAACTTCTGTCATTTTATATGTAGTATATATTGCAGCGAAAACACTCTTAGAATACTTTGCAAATTAACAATAGCATTTTCTAATGGGCAGCTATGGAATGGAAAAGATATATGAATAGAGAACTATGGTTGGGGAAAATTATGCTTATAATTCTTGTTGTTTTCCATCAGATTTTCAGACTGCTTAAAAATTTTGTCCTGTGACAACCAAGAACATGCAAGAGAACCACCTCTATATTTGGAAGCCAAAATATCAAGGACCTGTCTCGGTATTTCCATTAGATTAAATTGAAATGTTGGTTCTGGTAATAATTGTACGGCACTGATATCAGTATTTGACTGTATGTAAATAAATCTAATTTTCAAACTTAACTCTGTGCATCAGGAGTGTACTTTCACCAAAAAATTCTGTGCTGTAAAATATCTATTGGTTTAACTTTCTGTAATCAGTGAAACAATATTACAGATTTGGAAATGTTTTGCTTCTGAGCAAGACTAAGAACTGCATTTGTAATATTGACAATGAATAATTATGTAAAGCTTAGAAATTACTTATAGTCTTTGACTTACAATTGGTCACTTAGTGAGCACTTGAAATTACAAGCTACCTGAAAAAAGAGAACTTACAACCTAGATCCAAAGTTCTGACAAGACACATGACAGCACTTCAGGTGCTTAGCAACACCACTGCATTTATGGCAGTTTGTAGCACTTCATGGTCAGGTGACCGCATTTTACAACAGTTTTGTTTCAACAAGCATATCATTGTGTGAACAGTGTGGTTCCGGAGTATTACATTTTAAAACAAATATGACAATATTATTCATATTTAATACAGTTGACAATCTTTTAAAATTTGATATTAATACACATATTTTGTTAAATTATCAATCTTGTTCAATATTTAAGTATGTTGTTTTTGTGTCAATCTCTATATTCTTAATATCACTTTTACTACAGATAATATATTAATGGTCATATTTGTGGTGTTTAGCAAATTATATAATTCTAATAACAATTTACAAATTTATATTAAATTATAATTTTCCATTGTTTATCCCCTTTTAATTTTTAATTATGCCACATATATTTTTAAAAACTCCCCTTTCTAGTCACATTTTGATATGCAGTTCAAATAGCATTTTTGTTAAATTGTAATCTTTCATTATCTTATGCAATATTTCACTATTTTTATGTCAAATTCCACATATCAATTTTTTTGCTGCAATAGAATGTTACTATTCATATTTATTACCTTTATCTTAACTTATCATAACACACATTTATTGGAATCATAATCTCCCCCCCCCTTTTAACCATCATATCTCACTTACGTTAATAATTTAATTATTTGTTTCTTAGCTTGTCTCCCATATTCCTTTCTTAATTTTTCATCTCTATCTGCCATTTCTTGACCATTCATTCCTCTCAAACATTTCTTCCTTCTCTATTATAATCCATTGTCTCATTTTAAAGTGATCTACTCTTACCCCTCTCCCAAGAAATTCTCCCTGCAATTCCAATTCCTGTTTGACTTCCCTTAAAGTATTCTCCCTTTGGTTTATTATATCAATCATTATCATTTTTATTTTTATTTCCTTTTTGTCATTTCTTTTTGTTTTTTTCCTGATCTCTTTTTCCGGCTACTCTTTCAGTTGGCTCCTCCTCTTCCTGGACCTCCTGCTTTCTTTTTGTCATTTGTGTCTGTTTCCAGCTCTACGTCCATGTTCTGTATTTTATTCAAAATATCCTCACATCTTCTTGTCAAAGTATCTTTCATATCCTGAATTTCCAACACAATTTCTTTGCAAATTCCACCCAACTTTGTTTTTGTTTATTTATTTATTTCTGATCAATTGTCCAACAACCTTTATTCAAACCAAAACCACTTTTCAGACTAAAAATCCAATGTCCAGGAGTCTTTATGTCCCAAAATTAGTCAATCTGTTCTTTTAAATAGTCCAAAGGTGAAACCTTCATAAATCCCTCTACCAGTTGAGTCTTATATTGTAGCTTTCAGGGATCTTTTAATTATAAAATTCTCTTATTTCTCACTTTTAGTTCTCCATAAACCAGGTCTTATGAGAACTTTGGGAATCTGTTGTATCTTCCTTTGACAGCAGGTGGCACTCTTAAATCAGTTTTCACTTTGTCTTGTCTTTCTTACCAGACTTTACTGATATATTCCAAAAATGAATATTATATTTGTTTTTATATAGATTTCAGCATTTTAAAAATGCCTATCCAAAGCCAATGTCTGTTCAATCTAGAAATCCAATTTTCTGTGTTTTTAGCAAATTTACTATTTTCTTCCTTTACTTACTTCCATTTTTAAAATTTTAATGTTACTCCAGTGATTAGGTCGCTGCCACCTTAAAAATAATTATGAGTCCTCTTTTCTGAGTATTCTTCTCAGGGTTGCATTTAAAATAAAAAGGATTGTTCTCACCCAGTTCCAGACACTGTCACTAACTCCACTCCTGCACTCTTCTTGGATTAAACTGTCTCTGGCTATGTGGCAGCCATCTTGGCTGCCTTCTCCGTGATGTGGCAGAGAGGGTAATAGCCTTGGAGCTCTACAGGGGAGTTGAGTTCTCCCCTGAAACCTCGCAAGGCACCCCTCCTTTATTTCACCACCCCTCCAGGGCGGTTTCGGCTTCTTCCGGAGCCCACCAAGAACCCAGCGCAGGGACAGAGAGCTCAGTTCCCTTGTGACTGGCGTCGCTGCGATGTCACTTCCTGCCTCCTTGTAACTTGAGGACTTCTTGTACTGTATTTTCTAATGCAGACTTAACTAGAGAGGATCAATGCTCACATTAATGAAATAAGAAATCATACTGGAAGTGTTTTAACAAGTGCTATTGTTTTTAAACACCAGGCATATTGTTACAAAATACTAAGCCACTACATGGATTAATCATAATTGTACCTACCAGTTCCTCATTCATATAGTGTTCTCAGAGTTTGAAAATCAGGCTGTTTCTATTACTCAAGAGAGAAACTAGCAAATATATTTTGACGTATAGTGCAAATGTGCCCCATTGAATCCTAGCTGGTTCTTACTACGATTTTTTTAATTTGTTGATAATAAAGATGTTTTTTTTTCTTTTACAGCTCCAATAGAAGGATGCCATTGTTCACCTTATCCAGAAATTGATAATTTTGTTCACACTTTAATCAAGAAAGATAATGTTCAAGGAGGTAAAAAAAATATACCCAAGAGAAATATGTTTTCTAAAATACTTATATTGTTTTCAAGAAAGACTATCTTGTTTTTCAGGGATAAGAAGATGGAATTACTTTTCACTTGAACAGCTTATTGTATATGACATCTTCAACTATCGGTGGTGCAGAAATATTGGCAGAGCTCACAAAAGTAATAATATAATGTAGGTTCACTTTTTTTGTTACTCTTAATATCTGCTTAATGTTTTGGAACTTAAAATTATATTTATTTCATGGTATATAGGCGTTTGTAATTTAAAATTTGTAAAAGGGGGGGAATAGCAAGGTTTGGTATATGTTGGAATATAGGGAATAGAAGTTTGATTGGTAATCATTTTTAGACAGCATCAGTACCCAGCAATGAACTTTCTAAATCCAATATACGGGCGCTTCTCTATGTTCATATACATGCAGAGGTTCTTAGTAAATCAAATTTTATTCAGTAGTGCTTAATCTTACCTGTATGATCGTCCTATTTTTCTTAACAGTAACAGAAAAAGAGAGAATTAATTTCCTGGCATACAGACATCAAATAGTAACATTCTTATTTATTACAGAACAAACTTTGCAATTCTAAAATCACATTTATATTTTAAGGATTATAGTAGATTTGAAAAATGAAAATTGGTATCAGAAATGTCATGATCCTATTTGCAGAGCTGAAAACTTCAAGTCAGAATGTGAGTACATTATGTAATTATCCCATTATCATTACTTATTTTAAATAAATTATTGCTAATATAATTTCACTTATATTCATGACATAGGTTTTCCACTACCGGCTGAAGTATGCTTGCCCTTCCTTTTCAAAGAGGTATGTTTTTCTCTTTTAATACTGAAATTCAGCATAAAATAAGACATATGCTTAACCAAATAGGTAATTATGAAATAGGAACTTATACATTTAATACATTAGCAGAAATACACACACACACCCCTTATAAGTAACTTAATTATCATAAACATAAAACTTTACTAAATGTATTTTGTAATTATAACGCTATATTTGGAAACCTTCCTTTATGTGCTACATTACTTGAAGCTTTGTTGAGATTTAATTTCCAGGAATAGCTGTACAAAACTGTAAATTGGTGAAGTTCAGCAATCTATATAATTTGTTCAGTGTGCAATTAAAAATAGATTTGTTCCATCCATTAGAGCAGGATAAAATAAATAATATCAGTAACCTGGAATGTGAATAGTTTAATAGAATATTTCTGTCCAAACTCAGAGATAGGGAAGACTGCATTTAACTTTCTTAAACTGGAGTTGTCCCTCTATATTGTTAGTTTAAAGCAGCTTGCAGTTCTTTATATCTAAAAAAAAATGTGCAGTTCTGTGCAGAACATTGTTATGGAAACGACCTATTTCTAACAATAACCACATATCGAAAACCATAAATATAAAGTTTGTTTTCTAAAAGAAAATATCAGTAGTTTCTTTTCTACAGTGGATGGAGGTTATTCTATTAACCAGGTTTTGATCCTCCCACTTGCTTTGATAAGGCTATAATTTTTTTCAGCATATCCCTATGGGAACAAAACCTAATACAAGCCAAAAAAAAAAAAAAGGAGGGGGGGGCCAACTGAGCACTCCGCGTGAAAATAATAAAATGTACAGTAGCTACAAATTCCACTTTTCTCTTTTCATCAAATCTGGGATACTGCATAATCACAGTTCATCCTGTATAGCAGTGTTTTTCAACCTTGGCAGTTTTAAGATGTGTGGATTTAACTTTCTAGAACTTCCCAGCCAGCTTGTGTCCTTCCCATATACTCCACTATCATCCATCCACCCACACTCAAATCCTAAATACTCTCCCAGCAGTGTTCCATACGGCAATCTCACCAGTAAAGTATAATCTAAAACTGTAAATTTTGATGTTTGCTCTTTAAAGGATGAAGAATATGTAGGTACAATGGGTGAAAGTAATACCGAAGAAAGAGCAAATACAGTAGATGCTACAGGCTTATTGGACAACATACCTTTTACTTCAGTGCAAGAAAATAGCAAGCTAAACAAGAAAAGTTCAAATGTTGAATGGGATCATGAGCTTGATGCCTGCCTTTTGGAAGCTTCTGAAGATGTGGAACTAATTGAAGCTACTGATATTTTTTATACCCAGAGGAACTGTACTGTGGATGAAATATCTGATGAGCTCCTAGCAGGTGTTTTAAGAAATTATGAAGTAAAGGAAAGTTATAAAAATCTTGTGGATGAAGTAAGTATCACATCAGCTGATACATTTGTCAGTACTGAAAATCCAACAAAAACTTAACTTTATTATTTCTCTAAAACTACTCTAGTACTATGTATATAATATTTTTTGTATGTTTACTGTGGTTGATAAAGAATAAAGACAACTAGAGCTTAGAAGCAACTAGGTATTAAAAATATGAAATTTAGGATTTAGGAAAAGTATTTTATTGAATTGCCAAATATGTAAATAGTAATGCAAGTACATAATAATGTGAAATATTTAGAACTTACAACTAGTTCTGGGCTCTAAATATTAATTTCTCAACAACCATCTTCTTTCTTGTTTCTTGGAAAGCAGCATATAAATAGTCAACATGAAGCTACTTGTACCTTGCCAGATGAAACATTACTGCAACTAAATAATACCACAATTATTTTTGTTGGAAAATCTACTTTCATGAAAGAATAGGCTAAAAATAAACTTGCTCTCACACACAAAGTAAATATATTAAAATACTATATTTATGATTCAGTGGTCTATTTTATTGCCTCATTATTTCTTTTTTGCCAAACAAAAGGTTATTCTTTTTCTTTTGAGTCAGTCATATCTAAATATACCAGTAAGCATGCCAAAAGGAATTTATGGAGTTTAGATCACTGAAAGAAAATCAAATTATTTACAATTTTCTTACTTCTACTTTATATTTTAATACATTGTACATCTGATAACTCAGATTATAATTTATAGTATGAATACTTAGTTGGTTTTTTGCAGTTCCAAACTTTTCTGTAATTTTGTGTTGATATTTTGTAAGTGACTTTCTGCTCCTAAAATTCTTTGCGACTCCATCAGAAGTGCAGGAAGGCTGGAAATGCCATACTATGGAACAGAAAGAGAAAAACAAGACCGTTTATAAAATACTAAGCCTCTGTTAGAAATTCCTAATCTTTGGACCTAGTTTACTACTCGCTTTCTGAATTTACCTTCTCTTGCTTTTAGCCTTTCCCACTGCAAGCCAAACTGATACAGCTCTCCAATCCTGAGACTCCTTCTATCACCTTAATACCCTATCATTTCTGTTGGTGCTTCTAGGCCTGTTCCTCTTCTACTTGATAGTCATTTCTTTCTTGTTCTCTGTCTTTTTTTCATTCTTTGTAGTTTTACTTATGTTCTACCTCATCTGTTGTTTGGGGGAATATTCTGATCTAGTTGTGAAAAACTGTAAAAGTTTTTGGAGAGCCAGTTTGATGTACTAGTTAAGGCCCAAGCTAGAAACAGGGAATTCTAGTCTTGCTTTAAGCACAAAGCCAGCTGGCTGATTTTGGGCCATTCTCTTTCAGCCCAAGAAGAGAAACCACTTCCAAAAGGGATACCAAGAAAACAGCATGGACTTGTGCAGGCACTTGCCACAAGTCAAGACTGCTTTAATTTTCTCTGCCCTTGTAGCTAGCAAACCATAGTCCTGACAGTTAAGATATATGGGCTTATGATTAATATCCATGCTGTTTTTGCAATGAAGGCTGATATCCTGCCCATATCCCAATTGTGTTTGTGGGCCATCTCTGACATGTTCTTTCATGCATATCTGAAAATAAAGCTATATTAAAATATGCAAGACTACATTTTATTCAGATGTTTTTTCTTTTAATTCAGTATTGAACTATCCTTGAATCTGGGAACTCTGGAGCCATTACAAGGCTTGTTACATTATTAGTTTCAGGGGAATACGTATCATCCTGCACAGACCTTCACCAGAATGTTTATTGTTTTAATAAAAATTATCTGCCTTGTTTATACTTGTATGCTTTATTGGATATATCAATATTCCCTGTATAAGTCCCCTGTCTGTAGGACTTATCTGAACTTGTTAAACTGGGATTTCTGGCCAGGTTAATAATGTTTAATTTCTCAGCAACTATTTTTAAGAAACCTAAACTAACATAAAACTGCACTTAATTTGAGATTTACACACCAGAAATAAAAAGCACTGCACTTGATCTATGAAAGTATTATTGTACTCAAATGAAATGAGATGAAAAAGTTTAAATTTATCTAAGATTAATAAAATTTAAAAGCTCCACAAAAATAATCAATATGCCACGTGCTTTTCACATCAAATATGATTATATCAGTATTATATATTCCCCTAAGGATATTGTCAGACATTACTATATATAAAAGATAGTTACATGAAAATGAAGGTTGCTTTGAGAGTCATTCAGCATGGATCTTATGAAGCAATGCATAAATTTCAATACTAAATACCAAAATGTGTACCATTTACACTAAAAAGGGTTATTTTTTTTTCAGATAAGATAGTTCTTGGGCTATGATCACAATTGGAATAAAAATTACCATTGCTAAACAATGCGGTTATAAAGGGTGACATTAATCCCAGGACACATGGGCATTAAACAGGAAGAAGTGGGAGTCCCAGGAAAGGGTGCCATAGGGGCTTGCTGTGGGTGGTGCCAGGGAACACATGTGGGCCATGAGTAGCTTACTTGAGGCTATGGAGGAGCTATGGAGTGGAGTGCAGGTGGGCAAGGGGTGCTACTATGAGATCCCTTCACTTTGGCAGAAAAATACAGTGGGGAGCAACTTAATTGGGGTGACTTGTGACCCTACCCTGCAGACTTCTCCATAGATTTTGCTTGTCTGAAGCCTGCAGGGTAAATTGTAAATAGCAATCTTGCTCACGGCATTGCCATAGTCACAAGTTGGGCGCCTATGGGGTCACTGCAACAGCCAGAACTAGGATAATTGTTAAGTCTATTTTTTACAGTGCCACTGTAACTTTGAATAGTCTGTAAAAAAAAATGACATAGGCTGAGTACTATGTGTACTTGAAAATGATGCCAGGGATGGAGAATCATGGCAATGCCTATTATCTTTTTTTTTCACTCAGATAAGTTTCTGTTGTAGCACACCCTAAATACCTGAAAAAACTGCATCCTAGAAACTATACAATTATGTGTATTTGTGTTATGTAAAATATGCAAGGATTAGCATCTAAAGGATAAGCAGCTACAGCTATGATTTTTCCAGTATGCTAAGACATTAAATGGTTACTTACTCCCAGTTTTTCTTGTGAGTTTTCCTTTTCATCCTTCATTTGCTGAAGACTCTTTAAATCTTTGATAAACTGAACTGCATTCTTGAGACTGGATATTTTTTCTTTCAGTTTGCTGTGTTCTTTCTTTAGTTTCTTCAATTCTGGTTCATTTCTCGCAAAAATAAATGTTGAGCATTATGTTTCGATAAGATTTCCTTTTATTTTACAGAAAATTATTTAATCTAAAGGAGCAAGAATGGCAAGCTAAACTATCACACAGCAAGAGGGTAATCAGTTCTTGATTCAGCCCTGATAAAAATAAGGGGGTACATCAACTGTTACTGCATCAATATGAAATCCACCTGGAAACCCACTTCTTACGCCAGGGTGGACAACTCTTTGGTAGTAATTTTTTTTCTCTTCATCGGTTGAAGAACATAAGACAGTCTTGGTGACACTGGAAGGGGCAGGACAGGTTTTGGGTCTTTTGCGGTGTGATATACCATATTTTAGCAGTGCAATTTCAGATAGTTTGAATGTATGTGTGGAATTTGAACTATTTATCTCTTTGAGACCTACTGTTTGTGTTAATTTTTGAAAAGCAAAAAGAAGAGAAAATACTATTTACAATTCACTGGTCTTTTGTTTTCAATGTTATGGTACAGATACTTGCAAGCAGTATCTCTGCAATATGAAATTAGTCTCTTCAGTTTCATTTTTCATCCAGTCAAAATCATAGCAAGTGTTTGTAGCACAACCTAATTTCTACATGCATTTAAGAAGATTATTATGATTATCATTCAAGGAATAATCTAGGGCAGGGGTCGCCAACTTTTTGAACCTCAGGGACCACCAAACTCATAATTTTAAATACCGTGGATCACTAATATGAATTTTGACTGGTGGCTTGCTGACATTGATGGGAAAGTTGGTCCTGTATTCCAGAGCTGCATTAATCAGACTGGCCTTTTGGTCATCCTAGAGCTGCACTGAAGCTCAAACACTGCTGCTGGGGGAGAAAGATCCGATCTAATCTTGGAGGACGGGTGGTGATATTCTCTCTCTCTCTCTCACACACACACACAGGTCCCTCACACACACACACACACACACACACCCTCCAAGGCAACCACATTCCTCACAAACCTGCTTTTCAGCTCCCTTCTGGGGGGGGGGGGAGAGAGAATCCTGCGATCCCAAATAATGAATGATTGGTAGGAAAACAGGGTGGGGGATTGTCCTGCAGATTTTTGGGGGGATTTCCCCAGTGTGTCTGCTCCTTCTACTTTTGGCTACACACAAGGAAAGCAGCAGAAGTCTTTCTCTCCCCCAAACTCCGCCAGAAATGAGTCTTTGGGACCCTGCAAGGCATCCTGCTCCAAGAGGCTGCACCGTTCTGGTGGAGTTTGGGGGAGAGACAGACAGACTTCTGCTGCTTCTGCCGTTTTTCTTGCATGAAGTCAAAACTCACTCTCTCTCCCCCTGAGAACGGAGCTGGAGACAGCTTCAGCAGAGACCCTGGGAAAATCCCTCAAAAAGTCTGCAGGAAAATTCCCCACCCCGTTTTCCTACCGATTGATCGTTCTTTATTTGAGATTGCAGGATACCATCTCCAGCTCCGTTCTCTGGGAGAGAGAGAGAGAGAAACTTTTGGCTTTATGCAAGGAAAGCAAACAGAAGTCTGTCTTTCTCTCCCCCAAACTCTGCCAGAATGGCACAGCCTCTTAGAGCAGGATGCCTTGCAGGATCCCAAAGACTCATTTCTGGCGGAGTTTGGGGGAGAGAAAGAAAGACTTTTGCTACTTTCCTTATGTGCAGCCAAAAGCAGAAGAAGCGGAAAGAAGCAGCCCAGTGGCCAGGCGAGACTTGTGGGCCAGGTTCCCCCCTCCCCTCACTATCTTGTGTTGTTCGCAATGCAAGTAATGCAAGCCTTGTGTTCCCATGGGCCATGTGAGCGGTGCAGCCTTGTGTTCCCGCGCAGCCTGGATTAATTGCTTTGGGGGGTGCTTTGGAGGTGACATTTCTCTGTGGACCACCAACATTTTCTCGTGGACCACCAGTGGTTCTTGGCCCACCGGTTGGCGACCACTGATCTAGGGTTCTTGGCAAATTCAAGATGTGTAGGCTTCAACCAGGGGTGGGATTCCACCAGTATAACAACCAGTTGAGTGATTGTGCGTGGGATCTGCATTTAAAAAAGGCAAGCCCATATTTACCTTCAACTGCAGCCTCTGTGCGGCAAACTGGGGCGGGCAGGCCCACTTCCTCGTCACAGTGAACTGGTTCGGAGCGAGCTGAACATGGGAACAAGGGTTTCGCCCAAACCCATCTGAACTGGTAGAATCCCACCCCTGGCTTCAACTCTCAGAATTCCCAAGTCACATCTTGAAGTTGATCTATTCTAAATAGTCCCCAGAGGAGAAAGGAGCAATCTGATAGCTTCTATAGTCAATATGCAAAATGCTGCATAGACCCAAGAGGAATGATTGAGGTCAAGAGATGCCAATCAGTTACCTATTTCAAAAAGCGGGTAGATAAATCAATATTTTTTTAGATAAATATTATTTTATATTTGTAAAATAATGCAAATAAATATAGAAATTACATATATTGCAATGGAAAGGAATGAATTTGCCAGATGAAAAACTATTTATACTGTTTGAAACTTATTTGGAGGAAGCATCTGGAATTTAGTTAATGCTCCTCTTTTAGTTTTGAAAAAATCTTTACCACACTCATAAATGTATAGCTTCAGTTCTTTGATGCATTTGATTTGGAGTCAGTTGGAGCTTTAAGTATATATTTTGAGCAAAACTATTAGTACTGAAATCTGTACTGGGGCAGGGAAAAATGAATATATCACTGGATTGGCACAAAACAGGATTTTAGGATTCAGTGATAACTCTATCTAAAACCTAATTGCAAAGTTATTACAACATACCTAAATAGTTCTCCTTTAATTTCTATTAAACGTTGTCTTGTCTTATTTGTCTTTCTGACCATCTGTAATGCCAGAAAATAAAATTCAGTCTGAAAATTCTTAATACTTTATCACTGCTATTATTTCTTTAAAATACAGGTAGTTCTTGATTTGCGACTAGTCACTGAGCCACCATTAAAAGTTTCAACAAACCTACTTAAGCGTTCTTATGATGCGACTTCAAAGCTCCAATGGCTCCTCATGGAGTCGTGTGACTGCACTTCAGGAACTCAGCAACCAGCCCACATTTACAGCCACTTTCAGTAGCCCCTGGTCAAGTGATCATGTTTTAAAACTATTTTGCCAAAACCTGCATTTATTTTTAGTTTTCAGCAAAACTGCACTTGTAGTAAAAACCACTGGTTCACTTTACACGTGTGCTGTTTGCTTAATGACAACAGTGATTTGCTAAACGATAACTGCAAAAAAGTTTGTAAAATTAGATCAGTCATGCTTTACGATTGTGATGGGCAGGTTCCATTATAGTCATATATCAAGGACTACCTATATAGACATATTGCTTATTGTAAAATTTAATCCAATTTAGAATCTTGAGAAGAAGCAAGAACTATTTGGAAAGTAATTTTCAATACTCTTCCTTGATCAACCTAATCAACTGCAGGTAGCCTTACTACTGAAAATCCCTTCAGCTATAATTTAACTACTTATGTAATGAGGATGAGATTATTTATTTAAAATATTTATATCCTGTCTAATAATAAGATTGCAACCTACATGTACACAGTTCTAAATATAAAAAAGTGCACCACATTGGGCTTAACAGAGAATATAAAGGCAAAGCCATAGATAGCAACAGTTAAATTCATAAACTTTATTAAAATCAGTAAGAGTAGCATTACTCAAAATATTCAACACTGAACATGAGAAAGACTATTGATAAAACCTAAGTGATTTTTTCATAGGCAGAATATTTCAAAACCTAAGTGTGACCATTGGGTGAAAAACACCCCTTTCTGGAGTCAACAGAATTTTACAACATGTAAGTACAGGTAGTCCACGACCTACAACTCATTTATTGACCATTTGAAGTTACAATGGCACTGACTTATAACTGTTTTTCACACTTATTTACATGGCTGTTTTTCACACTTATCCAAGAGCCTTGGTGGCACAGTGGTTAGAATGCTGTACTGCAGGCTGCTTCTGGTGACTGCCGGCTGCCAGAAGTTTGGCTGTTAGAATCTCACCAGCTCAAGGTTGACTCAGCCTTCCATCCTTCCAAGGTTGGTAAAAATGAGGATCCAGATTGTTGGCGCAATATGCAGATTCTGTAAACCCCTTAGAGCTGTAAAGCACTGTTAAGCGATATATAAGTCTACGTGCTATTGCTATCACATGATCAAAATTCAGCTGCTTGGCAATTGATTCATATTTATAATGGTTGCAATGTCCCAGGATCATGTGATCACTTTTGCGACTTTCTGGCAAGCAACGTCAATGAGAAAGCCAGATTCACTTAACAACCTGTTACTAACAATTGCAGGGATTCACTTAACGACTATGGCAAGAAAAGTTGTAAAATGGAGCAAAACTACTTAATAAATGTCTCACTTAGCAAGATAAATTTTGGGCTCAATTGTAGTCATAAGTCAAGGATTACCTGTACTGTATACACATATAGAACTTAGCATGCATAAAACTTTCAATAAGTCACAAACAGAATATTTTCTATTCTAGCACCTAATTTGAATTAATGAGATTTTATATTATTACATCCTATTTCCTTAAATGAAGAAAATCTTTACAATTTTAAAGAAGATACACTAGCCAATTTACCTTTGTTTGTTTCAATTTTGTACTTTTCAGTTTCTCAGTATCTGCAGACTAATTAAAACATTCATAAATTAAAGATATGGCATAACTTCTTGGTAAATAATTACAATAAATACAAGAGATTTAAATTAGTAAAACTCACATTTTCTAATAACCAGAACCTAACAAGCTTATTTAATTCAAGAAATAATTTTAAATGTTTTTGAATTTTTACATTTATGTATCTAATTTTATCCTTTTTCAGATTCTATATAAATGGAAATTAAAGTGATAGGATCTGGCTGGATATAATGCATAGGAGCAGAAGACAGTGGGTAATTCAAAGAGAATTGTTAAGCATTAAAAGAAAAAAAAACTGCAATTGACTTTTTTCATTGCCTGGTTTTTCTCCTTTCTGGATGCTTTCCAAATTTTCAATTTATTATATCTCCTGCAACAGTGTTACATCATAGATTGTTCCCATGCCCCATAATGCCCTGTTCTATAAAATTCTTTAGCACTCTACTTGCCCCCTCTCCCAGGTACATTTAATTGCCATTCCTTTTCAACTAAATAATAGGTTATTTTGGTGATTCGTCTTTCATTATCTCCCGTAACATTTGCAAAATACAGAATTTTCCCAATCAAAACTTGTACGTACAATGTCGGTGAATTGATCTTTGAGCCTGGCATGAAATTTATCAATAACATTTTTATACTTGTGTTCCACTTCTTCTCTGAAACAATATATACAATACATATCATGATATATCTATGCTTAAATGAACACATTAAACTAAGGTGCAAATTCTCGTCACTGAATTTTATCCTACTAATGGTTGATACTTAAGACAACAAGTAAATTGCTGTTAAATACCTAACATTTTCCTGTTAAAAAATAGTATCATAACTTACAATACTGAAAAGTTTTCAATTATCATTCTTGGGTTCCTACTTTTGCTGTTAGTCAGCAAGTTTCCTACAATAATTCTGATATCATGTAACTGTTGCTGCCTTCTGATTTCCCCCCTCCCCCCGAATTTCTCAGCTTTCGTGCAGTCCTGATATTCTTTGGCAGTCTCCTATCAAAGTAATGACAAGGCCCAAGCTTGCTTAAACCCTGCTCAGCATCCAGATGTTGATGCTAAAAATTATTATCTTAAATATAACAATTTTCTATAACAGATATTTTTTCAGAAAAAAACTATTATTTAAAACAAAGTAATTCTTTTATTATGTTTTTACAATATCTCCAAACTGGTTCTAATTTTAAAAAGCGAAAAAGCAGATTGAATTATAAGTTACATATAATATAGCAAAATTTTCAATCATAAGGAAATTCTCAATCATAAGAAAAGATGCTTACTTGTATTCTGCTGTTACCTTTCCAAGCTCCTTCAAAACAACTTTTCCCTTAGTAGCACGTCCGGTAACTTTTGTTGGCTGCTTTGGAATTTTTTTTGAAACTAAATGAAACGAAAAACAGAGTATTAATACATTTGGTTTTTATGGATCCAAGCCTATCTAAGCTTCCCAAAGATACACAATTTAAACTGATGCATATGAAGTGCTAAGTCCTACAGTTTTACTCAGTTACTATAAAAATCAAGATCAGCAGGTCTGTTATTACACACAGAAGTGAAAAACCATTCTAATGCTGTGGAGAAAGGAAAAATGATTTACCTGGACAGTTTGTCTCCCTTTCTGGTAAAACATTCTCATTTACATGGGATTGAGTCTTTTTCTTGGGTATCTATTAGATCAAAGTTAAGGAACATATTAGTTGTTAGCAACCTATGTGTTTCAATATTCGAAGCTCGGGTTGCCAAGCTCGGAGCTCAAACCAACAGTCTACCTATATTATTTCATTTGGCAGGCACTTTGTCAAACTTATTTAAAGTATAAACTTTGTCTAGATGTACACTGCTTAAAATTTTAGTAAATTCTCATAACACCTATAGTATATACAAAGAATACACTATCACAGTACACTTGTATACTTCTTTGTAACAACACACTATTAACTTTGAATAGTCTATAGCTGCACCACAGCAAAAATAAATTGAAAAAAACAATACTTTTACAACTAGTGGACTCTTAATGATAATGTGGTTTTTAATAATCAGCCTGAAGTATGTGCTTTGCTTCATTTTTATAATAGAGTTTTATAACTAATATGTGACAGAGTAAAGATTTTTTTTTTACAAAAACATTTAAAGATATATTGATCAACAAAACATTAAAATAAATTACATAAGGCCTCTCCTAGAAAGTATAAAAGTTTCTAAGAAATTATATATAATAGTAATTATTAGGAATTACTATGCTGAAATAAAGGTAAAGACATATTAATAAAATAATATTAAAGGATTCTTCAAGAATCTTTGTTTTGTCCATTTTTTAAATCAATGTGATTTCCTAAACCAATTAACTAACAAATATTAATTTATTATTTTCCTAGGACATGTAAAATGTTGCAAGACCCAGTTTTGTCATATTAGTACCAGATTACTAAAAAACATGCTGGAAAACTAAATTTTATGTTTTTCAATTAATGGTATTTAAAATAGAATTTTTAATCTTGTCAAAATCTATTGTTTTAATTTGATATCTTTCATTTTAAGTATTTCTTAATGATCATATAGTTTGAAGATTTCTGCAATGTATGTAAATTTTATTGACCTGCATTGAAAATTATTTAGGAATTATTTTAATCATGTTTACATATTCACTATTGCAATTAATTTCTATTAGTATAAGAAAAACTCTTCAAGTTATATGAAATGTGTACAAAATATGCAGAAAATCATGCAGAAGAAATAACAGGAACTTCATGTTATCGTAGCTTACAATTTATTAAAACCAAACTTTTTAAAGTAGCTATTTCCATTGAGCACATAAACATAAGTAACCTATACAATAGCATATTAATTATATTATTACTAATGACACCTGTAAAATAGACACTGTATTCAGAAGTATTCAGATTCATAATTAAAGACTTATGGCTATCAGCTCATAAAAACTATTTTATTATTCATGGATTCAGGAAAAATATGAAACCGTTGAGATTAGCACTATCAATGAACATTAAAAAGAGATAGATTGTAACACATGGTGACTGCAAGGAAATAGTACATAATACCACATATAGTCAACAAATGACATTATAGATAATACTTCACTGCAGAGCATCTACCAGATTTTTGAGAATAAAAAAGTGAGTATGTTTAAAAAAAACATTACCAAAATAACAAATTACAAGAAATTTCAACTTAAAATGATTAAATCAGTTTTGTTTGTACTTGTAAGTCATACAATTTTAAATTATCCAATTATATACCACTGAGATTGAAAATAAATGTAATTTTATGTTTCAAAACATTTGCCTATAATAGATTGTATTTTACTATCAATAAAATGGAAAAGGCATTATCTAAACCTTTTACTTACCGTGTCCTTTACTGAAGATTCCTCTTCTGAATCTTCACTTGTCACTATTTTTTTCAGAATGTGAGTTTTTCTGGTAAATATAAAAATGTTACAGTACATTTTGTCCTAAAATTTTAAACACTGGCATGGAAACTTGTTAGAATCTTTTTTACAGTATTATATTGACTAAATAATTTCATTGATGGGCCAAAGAGATCCATATGCTACAGGCATGATATTCCCCTCTGAAAAAAAAATCGGGGCCGGCCAAAAGAGACCCCCCACCGCCCGCCGCCCGCCCAGGCTCAGCTCGTGCCGCCCGCCGCTCGCGCCGCCCGCCCAGGCTCCGCTCGCGCCGCCCGCCCGCCCGATTCCCCAAAAAATCCGAATTCCAATTTTAATCGGAATAATATCATGTCTGATGCTATTACAAGATAAAGATTTACAGTTAAAAATAGCAAGGAGTAAGCAACATAATTAGTAGTGATAAGGTATGGAAATTCAATGGTACATATGTCATACTGAAAAAAGAAAGCAAGTGTGCTTTCATCAAGGATTGTTTAGTTATATTGAATAGATAAGTATAGAAGTACATTGTGAATGGTAAGAGTTGGATTACATAGCATTTAGACTCAACTGGCAGATAGAACATAAATGTTCCCAAATTTACAAGCCAGACATATCTCTCCAGCCAATTATATCCTTATCAAGAATGCCAATCTACAATATTGCCAAATAACTGACGAACTTGTATACTTCACAGAAGTAAACACTCCATCAAATTCTGACTATAATGGCTCCAAAGAATCGAAGACCTGACCATAGATGAAGATGAAATAATGGTCTCATTTGATATTACAGCACTCTTCATAGATCCAGACCTAGCAAAAAGAGTTTTGTGAATCTAATTCTAGAACAACATGACTCGGAATATTTTTCAGAGCTATTATCATTTCATCAAACTTTTAAAATAAACTTTCAACTAAAAATTGCATGTTACCAGTCTTTTCAGCAAGCACTGTTCATTTTTAATTCGATTCATTGTTGTTCTGTATAAGTGACTCAGGAAACAAAAAACACTAAAGCAAAGTGAAGAAATAAACTAAAGGAACAGGGAAGATTTTTTCTGGACGTTGATCCAAAGTTAAAAGAATTTTTTTTAAAAATAATCTCTAATTATTTTTCAAGTTAATAAAATATAAAAACCCCAGTGGTTAAAGTCTAATGTTGATGTAAATCAAATAAAAGCAATTCACCTTCCAAGGACATGTCATGTTTTCAAACGGAAAAGCAAAAGTTATTCAAAACAACAACATAAATCAAAAGGAGGAAAAGAGACAGGTAAAATCCAGAAAGGGTTAATGAAGGACAGCATTCAATCAGCCAGTCAACTTTTAAAAACAAAAAGCAAAGTAAAGCAATACATTTAAAAAGTGAAAGTTAATACCCAAGCATGCTTAGAAAATGAAATGGTGAAAGGAAGAGGGATGCTTTGACTTTTCTGACCGTTCCCAAAGGGAATTGGAATCTTCAAAACTCCCTTCCCCAGATCGGTCCACAGCCATTCAAAGTCACTCCCATTCAAATCCAGGGAGCAGTACTGCCAGAGAACCAACTCTGGCAGTAAAATCAGCAGATAGACAAGAGGAATGAAAAAAATGCTACCATTCAGCAGTCATCTTGGGAGGTGAAACTATCAACAATAGCTTCAAAGAAATAACATTCACAAGGAAGAAGAAACAACAACACATTTTCTTCCTAGATATCATCATAAGCAGAAACAGTGATAGCAAGTTAGAAACACAATTCCATTGTAAATCTATCCACACCAGTCAAGTGCTCCATTACCTATGCAACAATCTAACTTCCTACAATAGAAGCCACGTAAGACCACTATTTAGAGTAACACAAACACACTGCAGTATTGACTGAACATTAGAAAAAGGTAACAAAGCATCCAGGCTTCCAACAAAATGAATACCCATGCAATGCAACTGTCAGATAAAGCCCTGACCACTCAACCTACCATAACACAACCAATACCAGCTGCAAGTACATTTCAGAAACCACCAACAGACTATTACAACTAAATGGCATCACTGTATCACACAAACCAACTAAACCCACCCAAACATCCTAAGTAAGTAAATCAAAAGCCCAGCAGCCCCCAAAAAACAGGAGTCAATCTACAACAAACAGTGTAAGGATTGTAACAGCCACTATTTAGGACAAACAGGCAGAAGATTAGCACAACACATTTATGAATACCAACTAGCAATTAGAATATATGATGAAATTTCTTAATTTTATAACACATGGACAGACTCAATCAGTTTCAACTGGGATACTGAGGATCCTAAATCAAGCCAAGTTTAAAAAGCACCAGAGATTTCCTAGAGGCCTGACACTCAGACAAATCACCCATCAACAGGCAAATAGAGATAAACAAAATCTACATACCAGTCAAGAGAAACAGTCAAAAAGCCCAAAACAACTCATCACCAGCAATCAACAATCATACAAGCAGAGATTAATACCAAGATTAACATTAGACCAGGGGTGTAAAATTCAAGGCCTACGGGCCGGATCCAGCCAATGGGGTGCTTAAATCTGGTCCATGGGACCAGCTTGGCCCACGGTGTCTCTGGCAGCCAAAACAGGGTGTGTGGGGGCATGCATTATTGGCCTGGACGGCACACTGCAACACTTTGCCAGCCAAAACGGGGTGCAGAGGGCCCCCACGCACCCCGTTTTGGCCGGCAAAGTGCTACAGGTGGCCATCCATCCCGTCTCTCCCCAGCCCGGCACGCAGAGAACTATAATGCTGATCCAGCCCTTGAATAAATCCAATTTGACACCCCTGCAAAAACATTCAAAAACATTCCCACCAACACTGACAGAGCCACTAGAACAGAGTTCCCCAATCTTTCAAGTTTTGTGGACTGGCGGAGGGTGGGGAGAAGAGGGGATGGTTTCATGCCTGCGATGCGTAAGCATGTAGGGGCAGCTCCATTTGCTAGAGCGGTGGGCACATACATCTACTGCTCACACAAATGGAGCATATGTGTGCTTGCCTGCTGCTTTCAAAGACCAAAGCAAACTCCACTCTCTTCTAGCACTGACAATGTTACTTAGCTTGGTAATAAAGGGTCTGCAGAAAAACCGGCAAGCTCAGAGAACACCAAGGATCCACAAATAGTTTTTTAGTTCAAATCTATAAAGTTTCATATTTTTAAATGATTATTTATGTATCTGACATCTCACTATAACAACTTTGGGCAGCTAACGTCATATAAAAATATACAAAAACACATAAAATACACAATATATATGACAACTCAGATTAAAAAAATTCAGAACAACTATGTCTTAGCTCTAACCATCTGACCTCCATGCCCAGGAATAAATCCAAATCTTCAAGGCTTTCCAAAAAGCTGGCATGCAAAGAGTCCAAAATCTTCTGACTTTTGTGAGAAAATCCTAAGGAAGTTGGCCAGAAATGCCACCTCTGGGAACCTATCGTAAGAACTAAATATTGGTTGTGATAATACAGAGGAAGTACAAAAGGTCAAGCAAAAAAAAATATCACCCAATATTTTACTGCCTTCACAACTGTAATTTAAGAAAATGTTTATGCTAATGAGAGATGTGCAAGTCCTTACAAACCTGGACCCTGTCATACTTGAAAAGTACAACAAATGTTTTATTAAAAAATCAATACATTTGGAAGCAATTATTATAAAGAAAACATGTTGCTAAGAAGTCTTACCTATATAGACTAAATTCGAAGCTGATTCAAAAGCACCAAAAATAAAGAATATACCTGATTCTTTAACTGTTATTTGTTCTTTACTAAAAATTTTAGAATGAAGTATTGGATATGCTCAAAATATCCCTTCTCTATTTGGATGACATAGTTTCAAGTGAAGTTATATAATTAGATTAAGTTAACAGGGCTGGACACACAAATAAATTCATGTACACATAGAAAATAGGTCCAGAGAAAATATTACATACAAAATAATGTCTTGAACTTATTTTTGGAATACCTTTTCTTTGTATTTTTCTTTGGGGTCTCTGGATCAGAGAAACTGCTGGTAGACTCAATGATCGCTGAATATTGATCATTCCCATTATCAACCTCTTCTCCCTCTTCATACACAGACAGAGCAGTGCTATGTAAAGGATGATCTAGGATGAAAAAGTACTACTGGTAATTAACTATAACAGTTTAAAAGACCCTGCATGTCTCACAACAGAAAATCTGAAAACAATAGTTTCTGTGTAAAATGGATGAAACAATTTCACTCAAGAGGAAGATATTGGGAAGAGTAAAGAAAAAACATCCAGGGGCAATAAGCCTTGCATAAAAGTGTTTGGTAACTATAGTTCCTTGAAGCAATCACGCAGAACAAATTACCATAAAAGGTTGATATTCCACCTTGATTATTCCAGAGTTCTAACCTAGTTTGGTCCACGAATTGAGCAGCAATGTCTGGTCATGTGAAAGTGAGAATAGAATTTTTAGCCCTCAGTGTAATATACCTGGCTTAGCTGGCAGGATTTAAGAGTGGACAAATTAATGGAAGAAAATATTTATGCTAGTGAAATATGCAAGTCCTTTACAAAACTTGGACCCTATTGCAAAGAGTGTGTGCTGGATTAAAGCAAACAAAAACTTTTATCAGTAAAAAGTATTGCTAATATGAACATTTTACAGAGAATAAATAGTCTTGAGACGTGATGGGTGGCAAATAAACAAAAAAAAAAAGTGGTATCTGCCATGCCTGTTTCTGTGAAAACTGGAGCTATGGAATTGCAGAAGGGAAGGGACTAAGTTCAGGAAACTTCTATTCAATCTGGCATTCACACAAGAATTCCAGAGACTAGATAAACACTGAGCTGTTTATAGCCAACAGTGCTGACCTGTTTGATATGGGCAGCTCCTCCAACCTGGTGAAAAGCACTACTTGCACAGTTGGGACCTACTCAAAGTTTTCCAAAGATGTATAAGGCAATGACTAAGAAATAGGCTGTGTGGTCACACTTCCAAATTAGCAAATTCTGACATGCTTCACTGCAGTTTGCAATTTGCTAACGCTAATTTTTAATATTACATTTGGGTATATTATTTAAAATTCTGTTGTAAAATGTATTTATTATTCAGTTGCTTATTAGTGCTAAAGCTAATCCAGATGGTGTAGCTAGCTTAGCAAGATTCTGTATTTGATCTTTCTGTATCCATACAATTAAATAAGAACATTTATAAAAATGTACCAGACATTATAATACACATGTATGTATTTATACATCTATTTTATATTTATTTAACTTGCTTATTGGAAATGTGACACATTTTTATTCTGCATTTATTCAATACATCTCAGAACAATTATTATCTATAAATTGTAGTTGGGAACAATATCTTATTAATATTTATTTATTACACCTATTTTATATTACCAGCTTAGCATAACTCCTGGTCACTTACAGTAAATATAAAATCCAACATCAGTAAACACAAATGGTAATTCAGAGTGAAGATGGTTACCCAATGTGCCAATCAGAAAGCAGACAATTCTAATAACTATGTAGGAACATCTAAAAATGTTACAAACGATAACTAACCAAATAAGTCATCAGTTTCTTCTGTTTGCCCGGTTCCAGAAATTTTCAAAATACTTGAGACATCAGGCTCCTCAGATGAAAACAATTTACCATGAGAGTCCACCTTGGCTTGATATCCCTGCAAGGAAAGCAGATTATTTATTCAAATTATATGCTACCCATTTCACTGCAGGCAACTCTAGGCAATTATTTAAAAAACTGATAAAAACATTAAAGCATCAAACCAATAAATAGTAACAATAAATTAGCTTAATATTCACAAAGATGGGGAGGAGGGAGCAGGATGCAAGGGTCTTATCATGGTCTGTTAACTATCTCAAGAATGATGTGCCTCCATGCCAGTTAGCACAGCCAAGTTTACAGGTCATTTTGGAAGGCCAAAAGGGTGGATATGGATCTCATCTCAGAGATCATGATGTTACAAAGGCTAGGAACCACAGCAGAAAAGGCTTTTCCTGGATCTGGCCAGTAAGAATTTGTTAGGTATAACATTGATACCAAATATGGTTTGGGTGAATAAATAT